ATTAGAATATAGTTTAGTTTTGAGCTTAGTTAAACCAATCGGAAACACTGCGTGAATTTTTTGTGTCCCAGGTATTGAGATAGCTTTACTAAATCTCTCACGTAGCCTCATCTCTTCTTCCTCATACTCTGGTATGGTGGCATAAGAAAAATTTATACCTTTTATATGCTCTTCCGCATATTTATAAAATTGTAAAGGTGTAATTATTTGATCAGTATAAGGTCTTTGTAAGCTTGCCTTGGCAACTAACCTTTTTACTGTGCCGCCTATGCCGTCGCAGGCACTTTTACCATGTGCCGTAGAAAAAAATGCCATTCTGCTTGGATACCAAAATCGATTTCATGGTAACAAACATTGATGAAGTTTTTCCTATTTTTATATTGAGCTGCTGAACCATCAGAAAAGTAGTAAATTTTTTCTGGTGGAGTGCCGAATTTATTTTTTAAAAAATTAATCAAATGTGATTGGAATAAATGGAATGAAACAGTATTATGAATTAAGGATTCGATATTACCACAAAACTTAGGTTGTTAATTAGATTGCCTATTTTATAATAAATTGAGAATGGATGCAGCGTAGCTTGCGAAGTTGTCCAATGATAACCCTGAACTTCGTCTTGGACAATAAAGGAATAATTTTCTGAAAAGTCACAAATAATTAGATAGTGATTATTTTCTAAACTATTTTTAAGGTTATTGTGAAATGAACTTTGTTGTTCACAAATAAATGAATGGCGTATGAGAATATTCATTTTATCGAAAAAATAATTAATAAATTCGTCTGAAGATTGAGAAATAGTCTCCAGAGTTGTTCTATCTACCGAAACCCATTGTTTAAACGTAATAAGAGCTATATCATTTTTTATAAATAATTTTTCAATGCGTTCTTTTAAGAGTGTCGAGCCAGGGCACTCGCTACAGTCACCAAAATAACAGGTTGGTAATGGGGGGTTGCAAATCATTCTGCCTATAACATCTCTATAAGTTGTTAATATATCCTCACCATTTTTAGTCAATGTTGCTAATTCACAGCCTAAAATCATTAGTTTAATATTCTGGTGTATGCTACAATCGCATACACTATGTGTTCCGCTAGCCCCTGCCAATATGCAATTTTTTTGTCTTAAGCTTGCGAATTTCGAAAATCCAATTGTTATGCTAGAATTACTCTCCTTAAAATGATTATATAATTCTTTTAAATTATTAAGAACTAGCCTTTTTTGAGCGTTCACTCGTTCCCCCTTTTCAATGATAGATATGCAATCTTTTTTTCCTGGTAATACCCTGCTAACTTCATCACTGCAAAAAAAACTTTTAACAATATCAACTGTTTTTTGATTGAGATATTTTGCAGGCTTTCGATTTGGAGTTGAAAGAATCCCCTTTTCTTCTAAAATGATTTTGGAATTATATGCCATATGATATGTAGCATTGAATTCCGTTTTTATTTTATTTGCACTCCAATTAGGAGGCAGAATGGTCAGCAATTGATATTTTTTATTTTTAGATAAATTAGGATAATGTAATTTCATATTGTTGAGTATATCATTATTGTCTTTTGTGTCTGATTCTGGATTGTTAATTATTATATCTGAAAGAGCTTTTGATATTTTTGCTATCTTTTTTTTTGGATAATTTTTTTCAGTTAGTTTTTTTTTCTTAATAGGAGATATTCCAATTTCGTTTAAGGTTAAATTGATTGTATCTATTGATGCGGATGTTGTGGGGATATTATTTTCATATTCGTAATCAGAATTTATATTTTCAATATTTTTTTGTGATAAACGCTTACGACATTTATCACAAATATAGTGTTCCGCCTCAATGTTTGGAAATTGTGTCATCCACGTCGTGACTTTACGCAGGTTCTTTTTACAATTAAAGTGTTTAGATTCTTTAAAAGGATTTGCACATTTATATTTATACATTATAAATAATTTTAAGAAAAAATTAATATTGAAATATTTGTAAAATAAAAATTAATTAATATCAAAGCAGGTGCATGAAAACTTGCTAATATATTTCAAAAATTAATTATATTTTCTTATATAGGAATTGTAACTATCTTTTTAGGAAATTAATCATTTATTATAAAAACTAATAATTTTTACAAGTTATCAATAAAGTAATAATAATTATAAGTAAGTCTATCAAATGATCTAAATAATATATTTTCATAATATTAATGCTGGAAAATCTTATTATTTATGTTTAAAATGGAAAAAAGTTTAAAAAAAATAATAATTTTAACAAAATGCGTAATTTTATAAAAAAGCGCCATCTATTTGTGAAAATAATATTTATTTTTTGATTTTTTAAATCGCAATAACTAAAAAACCCATGGCTGTCCCAAGTTTAAATTTTTTTATGAATAGATATAAGGTTAGAGAATAAGAAAATATTAAATTCAAAAAAATTTGGAAAGCGAAACACTTGGAGTTTTCATGTTTAAAATTTATAACTTAAATAAAAACCGCAACAATATTATTTTGAAAATTTTTTTAATATTCAATAAAAGGCCCTTAATAGAGTTATAAATTGGTCTATAACTTATATTTTTAAAATCATTATTTTTTAACTTATCTCAATTTTAAAAAATTGCATTTTTCGAAAAAACGTCATTTTTGGCACTTTTGACCATTGATATCTCAGGAACTATGAGTACTAGGAGGCTAAAATTTTGGATTCGATGCTTTCTAATGATATTCTCTCAGTATACAAAATTTTATAGAAATTAAAAAGGTCGAGCCGAAAAGTTATCGATTTGGTATGGAATTACCCAAAATGCCAAATAGGAATTTGTTAATTTTTTCAAAACAAAAACTAGAAAAATTTACACACCCTGATTCTTTTTTTTTAAAAAAAAATCAGGGCCAGTTTGAAAATTTTTACTGATAAAATCTAAAATGTTCTTCAATATACCTTAATCAATTTATATATCATATCAGATGTTGTGTTATTTTCTGAATCTGAAGTCTTAAATTCAAGACTAATAATTTCTCAAATTATTTTAAAACAACAAATACGGCAGGCATGAATGGCTTGAAGCACTTTCAAGCCAAACCTTAGATAATCTCTTAACTAGTGTTGTAAACGAAAGCGTTCGTTCGTTTTTTTGAAAAAAAATGATGAACGGCGTTCCTTTTATTTTTGACGAACTTTGAACGTGAACGCGTTCCTTTTTTATGACGAATGCGTTCGAATTTAACATTCGTTCAATTTTAAAAATATTTTTATTTTTATTTGAAAAATTTTAATTTCCGAATTTTTTAATCAGCTGTGTATTTCCTTTTCACATTTCAATTTTTTTAACACATAGTTTATTAATTTGAATATTATTGTTTACATTTTATCTTAATAGATTAGCATAAGCATGGATATTATTATATAATCTTCAGAAAATCCAAAATCAAATGAATTATCATTAATATGACCAAATATGATAAAGTTTTACATTAACATCCTATATTGAAGGAACTAATCCAATGCTTACCAAGTGTAAAATGTGACCAAAAAGTATTATATTATCAAAATCTTCAGGTTCAATTTAAAACGACATTTGATTTTAATATTAATTATTTGATTTTATATGATATAACTAAGTAAAATCATTAAATTTGAAGAATTGATGCATTTAAGATATTTGACCCCAACAATAACGATAGTTATTTTAAAATTAAAAAAATTAGTAGCCTCAAATATGGTCAACTATTGATAGAAGCCATATTAAATGGGATCAATAAAAGGTATTAAACCTATCACTCTCAATTAATTACATATATTTCATTTTTTTTAAAGATTTGAACATATATATAAGGATCAATTGTTATTTCTGCAATTATAAATCCAGCATTCAAACTTCAATGGCCATAGATAAAACTTCCACATAACGACCCTATTAAAAATAAACTTATAGCATTATTGAAAAAAATGCTTTGAAAACCATAGAGAACTGTTAATTTCGAGATATCCTTTTTTTTGTCGAGAGTAAAGAATGGATTGGAGGAGAATAACTTATCTCATTGCAAATAACAAAACAATATGTTTTTAATTAATTCTCCATGTTAAAAGAGCTGTTTATTAAGTATAATATCGCAATCCCCTCATCTGCCCCTGTAGAGCGCGTTTTTAGGCTGTCGTATTAACTGTCAAGTGTTCCTGTCTATCAGATAAATATTTTGAAAACAATTGTTATTAAAATTTAATAAGAAAAATTTTCTATAAATAAAAATATCTTTTTATTTGCTATATTATATTATATTTTATTTATAACTCTTTTTAGAGCCTTCGTTACTATTAATTAATATATATTTTTATTTAGTAATTTTTACATAGTATTTTTAATATTTTAGTGTTTTATCATTTTTTTTAAATTATACCAATACCAATATCAATATTATCAAAATAAAATTTTAAAAATTATATAAATTTTGTTTGATATTACAAAATCAAATTTATAATTTTTATTATATTAATTTTATTTTTTATGTCAGTGCTTTGCACATCCACAAATTTTCCATCTTTTCAATATTCAGAATGATTTTTATTTACTATCTATCCTTAAACTTAATATATAAAAATTAGTATTTTCTATAAAAAAAACAACTAATTTTTAAGAGCAATTAAGTTTATTTTCTTTTTTTATTCCTCAAAAATGTTCATTTGGGTAATGCTTATGGCTGAATATGACTCATTATATTTTAAAATCCTTTTCATTTTCTGTAATATAACAGAAAAATAATACCACTTAGATTCCATTTTTTTAAAATAATTTTTTTAAATTTGATATTTAAAATTGGCATAGTCCTAATACACATTAAATATAAAATAGCAAAAGTAAAATTTTCTTATGCCACCAATTGTCGATAATTTTTATCAGCTTCATAGAATTGCCAAAAAGTCTGGCAGTTAATTTGTACATTTATGCACAAGCCTACATATGAATAACACTTTTAATAAATATCTATATCTAACAATAAATTAAAAGAAACAATATTTCACCTCTGTTTTCTTAAGTGTTTGTTGATGTATCACATCTATAACTGTACGTGATTGAAGGTCTGGTGTTTTGCTATCTGATAAGAAAGGTTCATTAACCTCTGTTTTCTTATGTGTTTGTTGATGCATCACATCTACAAATGTACGTGATTGTAGGTCTGGTGTTTTCCCACCTATACATAAGAAAATTTCATTATAATGCAAGATTAGTAAGGAAAATTATATATAATAACCATCAGCAAAAGGATCAAAGCGTGCTGGGGATATTCTTAAATTCCTACGTCTTTGTTTATATTCGTCTTCTCTGTCTGCTATCTTGGGGATTCTATGTTCTGCAAAAGGGTCAAAATCCTAAAGATTTTTTAAATATAGGTGCTGAGTTAAATACAATCATTATAATTAAAATAAAAATCAATTATGATGTTTAAATGTACTCATATAAAATTACAACATAGATAATCATAATTTATTACTTTTTCATGAGCTAATATGGTAGAAAATACACCATTAGTATTAGAAAATTCATCTTCCTCCTATAAATATTCATTATTATTTTTAATACTAGGAATCAAATTTTTGAAAATAAATTAGTTGCAAATTAATATAATATATATAAGATAATGGGATCTAGAACTTACATATCAAGGACCTGATAATTTTTCTAGTTGGCTAAATAGGCTAGTTCACTAATCATATTATAGGTTTTTCTGAAAAATTAAAAAAAAGTGACTAACTACACACTTTAGATTAAATAATAATTATAATAGATTAATTAATAATCTTATCTTAATAAAGTTTAGATAAAAATAAATAGTTCATAATTTAAATGGAAGAACTGTAACCCAATATGATTTCATTGAGTGAGCTAAAAATAAAAAATTTTATTAATTTATATATTGAATTTAAAATTAGCTATTTTTTAAGATATAACATTATCATACAAAAAATAATTATTCTTGTGAATCTCAAAATATAGAAAAATCACCTCTGCTTCTTCGGCAACTGGTATTGAAGTGACATAGCCTTCAAACTTCCCCTTATTGCCATCATAAATATCTTGATCATAGAAAGCGTGTTCACCTAATGCAACTCTTTCATCTTCTCCTTCATCATTTCCTGGAATAAATCCTGCCTTTTTAGCTTGTATTTTACGAATTTGTTCCTCAATTTCTTGAATAAAAGTATATTTTATCGTATCAAAAAAATAAATTACCTTCATGTGTAGTGGCAGCCATTTTGTAATCTGATTTCAATTAAACTAAATATTTATTAAATCAATATTATTTAATTTTTAATATTTGAGTATATATGTATTACTTGCTAATAATAATATATTCGAGTAAATCAGTCACCTGGCATCCATAGAAGCAAGGGAGGCATTTCTTTATCAATTTTCTTAAATAATGTTAATTTTTTTTTAAAAAGATTAGGAATAATTACTAGTTCTTTGTTAGAAAACGAATACTAATTTATAAGTGAAAAATAATTAATACTATTATCTACACCAAAGAAATTTATCAGAGACCTGCAGACCCGGCCCTAATCCCGGCCAGACCCAGCCCGGGCAGTATTTTTTAAAAAATTTTATACAACATGAATTATTATATTCGTCAATTAGATGGTTATAATGATTATATATAGTTATGATTAATATAATGTTTGGTAAAAGTTAAATAGTATCTACATAATATTATTATAGTTTTCCTGCCATGGAATAAATACGCAAAGGATTAAATACATTATTATATAATATCAGGGTTGGGCAGTATCGCGGATATTTGTATCTAAGATCAAGATATTGGAAAGTATCTTGTATCCAGTATCTAAGATACATATTATTTAAAAGTATTTGTATCTTAACCAACTTTGTATTCAAAAAGATACAGATACTTTAAAAAAATTTATATTGGTTAATTTAAATAGTATTAAAATTTAAAATGATATTGTTTAAGATTTAAATGAAAAATTTAATCAAAATTTAGATATTTTAAGATAACTTTTGATATATGACGTTGGTCGTCAAGCAATTTGCTAACAATAGAACTACCATATTTGAATCGTTTTATATCTGTCTATTTAAAAATTATGGAAGAAGAAAATAGAATAATATGTTTATCTTCGTTTTCAGATCATTCTTCAACCGAAAATTATAACAATAAATTTAAACTAAGCATACTTAATGGCAAATTTTTTGAAGTACTTCAAGATAATCATAATAAAGAAATTCATCGTGACTTTGATATTGACGAAAAAGTTATAGCAACTGTTACAGATAACGGCTCTAACTTTAAGAAAGCTTTCAAGGAGTTTGGATATTCTATGGAAGCTGTAGAGAATGACTTTGACATCAATGATGATGAATGTATAGAATTTGAAATCATTGAAAGTATTATTTAATACTTCTTTAAAATTTATCATGATATTGTAAATTAAGTAAAAAAATTTATTCAAATAAAATTATTTATTTGTTTATTTAAGGGTCTAAAGAAGCCTCAATAACATTGCCTCAACACATTCGTTGTTTGTGCCATACGATAAGTCTAATTGCCACAACAGATGTCGAGAGAGCTATTATCCTAACATTTCTAAAATTCATCAACCTGCAATAGCTAAATGTACTAAGCTATGGAATGCAAATAATAGGCCTAAAACTGCAGAACTTATCAAAGCAGTTTTAGGAAAACAATTAGTTACACCTTGTTGCACTAGATGGAATAGTTAGTATGATAGTCTTCATAGTTTATTAAAATTTAAAGGCTAACTTCCTAAATTATGTCAAAAATTAGAATTTCCTAAATTAAGAGATATTGAAATTCAATATTTAGAAGAATATTGCAATATAATGGCCCCATTGGCTATAGCGATTGACAAAATACAGAGTGAAATCAACTGCTATTCTGGAGAATCAGCTCCAATTTTAAATGTCGTTAAAAAAATTACAAATTTAATTCAAATATATCTACAATTTTGCAAACCATTAGCTGTTGCCATAAAAAATTATTTAAATAAAAGATTTAAAAATATATATGATTTTGATAACAATTTTAAGAGTTTTGGCAACTATTTCTCATCCCTTTTTTAAAAATCGTTGGATTAATGGTGAAAAAGAAAAAAAATACCTTCAGAATTTGTCATTACATGAAGTTTTAATTGTTTTTAAAAATAATATTGAAATTAATACTTCAACAAAATCTTCAATTGATGAAGATGATGATTACTTTTGCCTTAAAAGTACCACATCCAATTCTAATAATTCAATAAATGATATTGAAATAGAGGTCCTAAATTATATGAGATGACAGGCGGAGTATAAATATGTTAAATAGTTATAAATATATAAAAGAAATATTTATTAAATATAACACAATATTACCCTCCTCAGTCAGCCCCCGTTGAAAGATTATTTAGCTTTGCTAATATGGTTAATAGACCAAATCGTCAAAGATTGAACGAAAAATTAATAATATTAAAAAATAATGCTGATTTATGATGCTGATTTATTATTATTTACTAATTATATAATTACTAAATGGAATATCACATTATCTTTTATAATAAATTTGTTATTTTCTACATATTATTTTAAATATTTTTTTATAAATTTATATTATAGATAAGAAAATAAAGCTTTATACATTTTTATTTTGACTATTTAAAGTTTTTTAAAAAAGTATCTTGTATCTTAGATACTTTTTTTAAAAAAAATACAAGTATCTTGTATCTTATATCTTATTGAAATTTTTCTAAAGTATCTAGTATCTTGTATCTTAAATACAAAATTTTATAAAGTATCTGTATCTGTATCCGAATACAATTTTCTGAAAATTTGCCCAACCCTGTATAATTTATAATATATGTTATATTTTTTATTAATTAAATAATCATTTTTATTTTTTTTATAAATACATAGAATTTTCTCAAAATATAATTTACACAAATTTTTTATAGTATCAATTTGTAATATACTAAATATCTGTTTAGAATAATAAAAAAAATAATATGATAGTGTTGTTAAACGGCTCGTTTTGATCCGATTTTTAAAAACGGCTAACTCAGTTTTTTATCAAGAAAAATATTAGCAAGCCTGAAAATTTTGCTTATAGAAGGAGCAAAGGTATAGGCATATTGTTTCAAAATTTCGAGGCTTAGTTAATATTTTTCTGGCATAAATATTGAGTTAGCCGTTTTAAAAAATGGGCTCAAAACGAGCCGTTTAACAACATTAGCTATTATACTTGCTTATTAAATGATAATACTCTTCGAAAAATATGATAAAATACGAAATAATCAATTTTTTCTATATACCACGTCAAATATAATTTTATTCCGAGCCGGGCCTAAAAAAAATTTTTTAAAAAAATCCAGGCCGTGCCGGAGCCCCTTAAAATTTTTTTTAATATCCGGGCCAAGTCGGGCCTAAAATTTTAAACCCGGGCCGGGCCGTAAAAAATTTTTGAAAAAAAAATCCGGGCCAAGCCAGGCCGAAATTTTTTTAATCTGGGCCGGGCCGTACAAATGGTACCTCTGCAGGTCTCTGAAATTAATACTTATTACTTTTTTTAAAAATTTGCACTACTTTTGTCACGTTATTTAAAGTAAAACAAATATAAATTTATTACTTTAAAAAAAACTATTACTACTATTATTTTCAATTATATACGTTAAGGAAATTAATAATATTTTCTTCATTAAAACTAATACTGCTCCTACTACATTAAAAAAATATACTTTAGGAAAGCAAATAAATATCTCAAAATTTTTAAAAAAATTAATAAAAGAAAAAATCAAACCAATATGATAATTATCTTTGTTGTAATTTTTTTATTATCTTTAAAAACTAAACATTGTGGAACCAAATAAATAAATGTTTCTTTTTTTAATAAATAAAGAATAAAATCATATGAATGTGTTAATTTTATAAGAGTAAAAAATAAGCATGGGGATATATTATAGTATATTAGATTTAAGTATAATATATTTATATATATTATTTTTATAAAATTTTACATTCTATTTTTATTTTATGAATATTTATTAGTTTTTAAAATTCGATATTATACGATAAAGAGTATCAATTGTACAAAAGTTTACACTGAAGATCTAATATTTGGCAATGATCGTTATGAACAGCGTCTACATTAAAGGATTTTAGTGAGATACATACTCCCTTCGAAAACCTATATTTATCTCCTTAAAAAAAATTTGCCACCTTCGGCGGCTATATTCCAACATTATTAATTATACATTTTTAATTATACCAGTACTCTCTTCATAAATTTTAAATTATTAATGCTCTAATACCAACATCAAAATATTGTGAATGTAAAAGAGTGTCTTTTTAGAGCTTGAATTGAATTCAACCTACTCATTTACAATGAGTGATATCTTTTAGTATATTGTTCCAGCATGAATATGAATTTACTGAAATGGGCCCCTTTTAAATTATACATTTAATTGGATGGCATAAAATTATCAAGAAATAGTTTCTTTTGGAAAATAATGTCTATGATTGTATGCAATATATAGATTTAGTCGATGTTTAGCAATATCATTGTATTAAAATTTATCTAAGTATTAATTTATACGGCAATACATTTATCATATATCTAAAAATTTAATAATCCACCAATAAAATTTTTCCACCTTAAGCCTCTTAAATTAGTGATCAATATCGGGCCTAATTTTTCAGGCCCGACCTGGCCCAAAATTTTTAAAATTTTGCCGTCCCGACCCGAATCCAATGACATTATGTTATTGCCCAACCCGAAATATTTTTTAATAAGTTTGCAGGTCCGGCCCGGCCCGAATTTATTTAAATATAGAAATTAATTTTTATAATTACTCAAAATAATAGATATATGTTATATGGCGTTTAGTTTTCTAAATAAAATCAAATATTTTTATTTTACATTATAAATTCAACATAATTGATAAATTTCAATATATTAAAAAAAAATTCCAAGGCCCGACCCGGCCCGAATTTTCTTAAAAATTATTACACTCGACTTGTTAACTTAATATTTCCTCCAGAAAAATATTACGCAAGTCTGAAGATTTTGCTCATAGAAGGAACAAAGGTCTAGACATATATTATCGAAATCTCGAGGCTTAGGCAATATTTTTCTAACTAAAATATTGAGTTAGCCGTTTTAAAAAATGGGCTCAAAACGACTCGCTTAACAACACTAGGCCTGACCCAGCCCGAACACGATTTTTTTTAAAAAAAAAGCCGGGCCTACTCTTGTAGATCTTTATCATATATA